TGACAAAGAAAGATTTCCAGGGATGCTTCCAGGCTTGGCAGCGGCGCTGGGATCGTTGTGTTCACTCCCAGGGGAACTACTTCGAGGTTGATGGATGAATTTAATACCTGAGATAAGTGTACGGGTTTTTATACGCGCAGTCTGGAAACCTTTCGATCGCACCTCGTATATCGATACCCAAACATAGAGCTCTGTGTTCTGACTATGAAGAACACTGACCACAAAGATGAACAAAATACAGATATATCATAACATTTTGATTTCTCAATTCAAATTACTTCAGTTACAAATTTGACAGTGGGCTGTTTCTGACATGTAATTAGAATATCAGAACTAAAGGGCAGATTTTTTTAATACACCAAATTTATAGGAATGTTAAATCAGACACCATAAAAGCCTGTCAAACCTATAATGGAATGAGGAGCAAAGAAAATAAAGTGGTTAGAAGAATAATTCCAGAAGTAATCAGTAAACATTTAAACAAACAACTTGTATACAAACTCTTTGGTAATGCAAGCTTTCACATGCCACTTACTTCATTAGCCATTGGAAGAAGAACTTGATGGAAGACAGCAAGGTAGTCTGCATCAGTCATGCCAACATTGTTGAGAGGGATGTTGAAGTTGTAACCCAAACCAGGGCCTTCTCCAATATAGTGAAAGTCAGATTCCTTCAGGTTTGGCCAAAAACTGCCATATTCAAATCGGTGCAAGGAAAAGTACACTACCCTAATAACAGGCCAATCCATTATAATATTAACATATTCACTGTTCCCTGTGCCTGGCCCGGCCAGTTTGCTGAAAGACATATGTTCAATACTCGGTAAGTCAATTAAGATTAAGGTAAAGGCTGCCCCTTGTGTTTAACTAAGCACCACACCACTGAAACGTATATGGAAGTAGATATCCTTATTCAATGTTTGGTGTGTAAAGAAAGCGCACAATCTACCTATATTTTATGACAATACACTAATTTTTTAATTTAGGATAGCAGTGGTCTTTAACAAATCAGGACTCCTTGCAGCCATGTTTCATTCTGTATTTATTCTTCTAAAATCATGTGTCACCTATCAGTAAATTACTGTAATTAAATACATTGTGTCTTGAGATCCTTTCAGTTACACAAGTCAAAATACAGCTATGCAGAAATAAGAAAAAACTTATAAAAAAACATCTTGCGTACCAATACACTATGCTTAGCATCCTAACTGTACAGCATGTACATACACATTCTCTCACTTGGCTTTGGATATGATAAACATACTCTTACCAGTGCTTTTTAGAATACACATTATGTGCTGATACCTTTGATTACTCAAACTCATTCAGCTCTATAGTCATAGAGCAAAACACTGAATGAGCCTTCAATACTTGCCACAGAAAATGCAGTAATTTTGCTACTGATGAGAAATTTTTACTAGTAGCAAAATGTTATAGACCATACTTGATTACGTTTATTGAAATTATCAAAAATTAAAAAAAGTCTAAATCCAAGGCAAGAAACAACCTGTGTAACATGCCAGCTCTGGGACTCACTCACCGAGGATCACTGTAAAACATCTGTTGTGTTGCTTGTCCGTGATGAACATCCCAGTCGACAATGAGCACACGTGAGATACCACAATTCATTAATGCATGTGTAGCTGCCAGGGCCACATTGTTGAAAAAACAGTAACCACAGTACTCACTCTTCATTGCATGGTGACCTGGGGGCCTGCACAAAACATTACACTTTGAAGCTAAGGGTGCATCATTTAGAAAAAGTTATTAAAGTATATCAATATATTGAAGGTTATATTCATGAAGTAATTTACTTCCTGCACATTCCTGTAAGTCAAAATTTTCTCAAATTATTTTCAGTGGACCAAAATGTAGGTGCATCAATCAGCAGGCATCCAGGTAACATTCAATTTCATTCCACACACCATTCTTCTTTGCTAAAATATCATTAATGGCCACCTTTACCATTATATGCTAAAAATATATGCATTTTATAAATTTATGACACTGAATTTGGTAACAAAGTCTGTTACTTTACAAGGGGATATATTGAGAACATTGTCTATTCTATTAAAATTTGTGACTTATAGCACTTGCAAGAAAGAATCACTAGAGCATGGCAAGTGTAGTTCTGGGAAGCTGAATTGGAATACGATGTAACAGACATGGCTTTGATATTTGCTGAGCAACAAACAGCAGATTATACTGAAAATTATATGCAATATTTTCAAGTTTTTTCTTTCTTTTACTTTTAAAAATAGTTATTCTAAGCCTTTTTCATGACCTAGCAAATTTGAGGGTAAGGACTTACAAACGAAGAAGGGTAACTGTTGCCACTGACCTTACAATAGCCATGCCATTTTGAACTTTTCCTGTGCATAT